CCGGCCGCTCTCTGGCCAGCAGCTGTCCCCAGAGCCCTGGTGCCCTGCTGGCTGCGGCCCCGCCTTAAGTGGAGAGCTGTCCAGCAAGGGAGGGCGGAGGCGTCCCGCCTTGGCTTCACCCTCACCCTCAGCCAGCCCCCATCGCCGGAATCCCTTTGGCGGGTGCAGGCATGGAGCGGGGCGCACTCCTGTCTAAGCCCAGCTCCACCCCGCCCGAGTCCTGGTTCAGAGCTCCTCGGGCGACAGGAGCGGGCCCTGCCCCACCCCCTCCCCTGCTGGACTCCTCTCCCGCAGAGTGCAGCTGCTCCGAAACCCAATCGAGGCGTTTACACAAAAGCTGGAGCCCAGAAGGTAGCGGGTTCCAGCTCGGCCCTGCGCTCTTCCTTGCCCGAGAGCAGCCTCTGCTTGGCCCAGGGTCCCTTCTTCCCCCACCCTGGGGGATCCCTGCAGTAGCCTTTACCAAGTGGAAGACCAAGGACCCACCCTTACCCCTTCAAGAAGCCAATCTGAAAAGCTCCAGGGCCAGACACCCGTGAGCAAAGGCGTCTAGGGGCACAGCCAGGCATGGCACATGAAAGGGGCCCAGCCATAAAATTGTTCCCTGGGCTTGGAAGTTAAGCTGAGTCTGCTGAGTCAGGCTGTGATCTTACTCTTCCAGGCTGGGGTGGGCACTAACCCCAGGGCAACAGGCAGCCACTGTTTCAGTGATCAGACAGGATCTGAGTCTACTTTTGCTTCCAGGGTTGTGCTGAAGGTTTTTTGGATGGAAATGCTGTCCTTGGTGCTGGGAAGGTGGGGAGGGGACACAAGGAAGGACGGCTCTTACTTGGCCTCTGGAATTGAGAAGCGAGGACATGCTCCTTTCGAAGGGCATTTCAGTCTGAGTTTCCCACAGGGTGCACAAGTATTCTCGGCTGGTCTTCTGGACCACAAAGTTTAACCCTCCAAGACTGTCCACAATCGTTGAGTCACACCAATTCCTAATCTTCCCAGGCTGGCTACCAAAATCGAAGAAAACCCACCAAGATTGTCCTAGAGAACATGACCACATGGGGGAAGAGGTGGACTGGGCTGGAGGCAAGATGAACTGCACAGGCCTCACCCTTGTGGGCCACTCCTCTGCCCTGGGGACTAGCAGGCTGCCAGCCCCAAGCCCAGCCCCATATTCTGTGACAGGATTTGTGATCACAGAGCCTACCCGACACAAGGAAAGGGCTCAGGACGCTTCCTGGCCGGCCCTTGGCCAGTGTTGGGTGATGGTGAGTGAGGCGTCTCTGCGTGGGTGGGTGAGGTGGTGTACACCTCACAGCAGGGAGCCTGAGGTAGCAGGTCACACCCCTGAAGGGCGGTGTAGCTCATGCCAAATTTGGAGTCTGTATCATCTCAAGGACAAACTACAGGGAGGACCTGCACAATCACAGACCAGACTGGGGGCTGTGCTGGGGGCAGCAAGGACCCAGCAGCGAGAGGAGAAACATGCCAGGAGAGGTGATTCGTGCCAATGAATCACCTGGCCAAAGGACAAAGTGGAGCTAAACAGTGGATGCCCAGGTTGGTGCCCAACCAGAGGGCATGCTCAGTATGCTTTCTGCAGCCACACAGGAAGGTAACTCAGGCACAGGGAGGCCGCATGCCAGCCTGCAGGCCTCACTCTTGGCTGCGCCTGTGCAGTCTGGGGCTTCCTGGACTGGCCTCCCTCTGCTGCTTGGCCATGTGCACCCATCCAACGACAGAGACCCAGCGCCACCTGGCTAACAGGGCTGAGGGGGAAGGGGAAGAGGCAGCAAAGGTGTCTGAGAGGCCAGGCCTTTAAGATGGGACACACTGCTCCTCTCCGCAAATGTTAAACTGGAAAAGTGTCAGGAGGCCAGGCAGGGCAGGAGCAGGTTGGGGTAGTGGGGTCCCTACCTTTTTGGTCCAAACACAGCAGCAAATGGTGACATCTCAAGGGGACAATTTATCAAATCACCCCACAGAACAGATGCCAGGCACTCGTGGACAACTGTTCAGTGCATAGAACAACACACGGGGAGCGGGGCAGTCACTTCAGGTGCTTTTATTAGGTTCTACTGCAGGGCTGGGGCCAGGGTAATGCTAATCCAACCCAGCAGTGCACACCTGTCAGCCCAAGGCAGAGCCACAGCAAAAACACCTACATCTTAGCAGACTGGTGGGAAGTGAGCTGAGGTCTGGCAGGCTGGGGCAAGACCCCACCTCCTCTCTGGGCCAGGAGATGTGGTGACCACTGTGTGTTCACCTGGGCAGGTGTGCGTTCGTTCAACCCCCTCTGGGTTAGGTGGCTACTGGCATGGGCAGATGTGTCCACACTGAGGGCAGGTGTGGAGATGTGGGGCTGGGGGACCCCTGTAAGAGGAGGTAGCTGAGCCACCCAGGACCTGAACCCCTGGCAGAGCTCACCCCC